CATATAAAAATCTATGTTGATTGGGTTCGCCGTGGTCCATGGGTTTCACTCGAGGTGTAGAAGTCTCGACGCTCGATTACTAGGTACAGCCAATGCCGATGGTTTGTAATTACAAATAGTCGCCGTGTTCGAACATGCACTATTCTCTAGGACAGTGGTTCTCAATATTTTAAGTACCGCAACCCAAATTTCCCCCAAAAATCTTTCGCGACCCACATGATTTCACTTTTCAAAAATAAGTAAAAAACAAAATTTATACTATATAAATATGTAAACATTTTTATTAGGTATTTAGTATTTTATAGGTGTATAATTAATATATTTTTACGAATGTACTTTTAATAATGAGGTGTATGTGAAATGTATGCTTGTTTTCTGTTATGGTTAATAACAGCATTGTCATCAGAGGTGTCCTTTGGGGGAGAACAGACTATGGCAAAAGCCACACTCTAAGAAATTTTAAAAAGTCGGTAATTTTTTGTCCGATAGTTAAATGCTAAAATCAGTAAATAGTAAATTTTTATTTATTATTTTATACTCAGAATTCAGATAATATTCTCTTTTAAATACACGTTCACGGTTTATTAAAAGTTGGAAAACACTGGCTCCTCCCCGGTTTATGACAATCGTTATTACGCGAACCTTATAAACTTTATTTTTGGTGTATTATATATTTCTATATATGTGATCTTTATAAAACAGTTTTCGTAATATATATACCATAAAAATTGAGCTTATAATCTATAAAAAACCGATAAAATCGTTTCTATTCACCCTAAACTACGGTACATTATATTTGAGATATAATTTTATATTTTTATAAATAAGTTCTGTAAAATATCAAATATACAAATAATAAAATTATAAGTATTTATTTAATTACATTTATATTATTATTCCATTAAACCTATTGATAGGTAACTTATAACCTATAGCAGTGTTTTCCAACCTATGGGTCACGATATATTTTTTATGAGTCACGACTGTCGACCAGTTGCATCAGACAGTACTATTTATAATTATTTATAATACTATATTATTGCATATTTTAATTTTTTTTTTTTAGTATTGGAGAGAGTTGGGTCACGTTATCAACAAGCAGTAAATTTGTGAGTCTCCATTACAAAAAGGTTGGGAAACACTGGCCTATCGGATAAGCAAAGAAATTAGTTACTATCTTTAATGTTATTATTTAATTGGGTAAATTGAAACGTTTCATGTTTTATGTTTATCATCATTATGTTTATGACATCATTATTCATTACTAATCCTTAAATGTTTTTTTACCAAAAAATATTTTATTGATAGTTTATCGTCCATATATATTAAATATTTAAATATATAGGTAACCATAATTTTTTAATTATTATGTAGTCGGCAAATTTAAACAGTTTCCCCACCCTTTCAAAAGTTTAAATGACGCCCCTGATTGACATCGACGTCAATTTTAATTATTTTCAACTATATTCAATTTTTCAATTATAAAGAGTTCCATAAGTTTAGCTTGTTCCCATGTTTGTTTTTGATGCCCACCATTGCCGAAAATCCAACTTCACACATGTATAAAGATGAGAATGGGAGTAATATTATATAGCTTCTGGTGAAAGAATCGGAAATTATTGTTGAGATGACAACTAAAACTGAATCACATTATTGCGGCTAAATTTAATTTTTAAAAATGAATCATCTGATAAATCAATGAGTTCTTCATCGACTCTTGTCAATATCCTAGTGGATACAGCTTCCTGAGTCAGATTCACAACCCACCTATTTTGTTCATATTTTTTCATTTCTTCAAGAAAGTAAAAATTAAAATTACCTTCAACGAAATTAAATGTAAACTGATATGGTTAATTATGTCATCAGCTACTTTTATATCATTTTCAGTTATGAAAGTTTCAAATGTTTCAAAGCAATCATAATTTTGCTTTTAAATGTTGTTTGCCATAAAGTAAGTTTTTTTCATAAAACCTTTAATTTTGTCATAAACCGCAAATATATTGGCTGCTTGTGTTCCTTGTATACAGGCATATAAATTTAATTCGTTAAGTTAACTGATTAATTTAACAAATATTTCTTGGAATCTATATAATTAAAAAAATGTTTGTGACCCACCAAAAATTGACTGACGACCCACACTTTGAGAAATGCTGCTCTACGTAGAAGTTCCGTTAAGCGTTAACAGAAGCTGTGCGCAATCTAACAAACGGTTTAGGCCAAAATCATGATAACTTGTTTATTTTCCATATTTATGATTAAAACGCTTTGCCAAAGTTTGTAAATTCAAATTATTGTACAAACATTTTTCAATTAGTTTTCATTATTACATTTGAACTATATAAATAATAGTATTATCACCACTACAGAATATATTGGTTTAAAATTTTAATTTTAAAATTAATATTTAATAATGTAAGAAAAACAGATAAAAATTGGAATTTAAAAGAAATATTTATTAGATAAATGGAATTAAAAAAAAAAAAAAAAAATTGAGAAATAGATAATTATTTATTTTATCCATGTCTACATTTTTTTTTAACTCAAATAAAGATATTTAAGGCAGTTATAATAATAAAAAAAAAAATGTGTATAGTGTTAACATTATGGTAGTGATGTTGACTAGATTATAAGTGTTATAAGATATATACAAGAAATTATAACCGAATCTATATGATTTAAATGGTTTATATTACTCTATTGGTGGATGAAATGTTTAAGATTCTTAGATGATCAATAAAAAATAATTGAATAGTTTTTTTGCCATATATAAAATTACATTTTTTTGGGAGATTTGGCTTTCGCCAATATCTTAGATCCGGGAAAAATTCCAGGAAATTCAAGCCATATAAATGAATGTGTAAAAGAAATTGTAATAAATAATGATATTGAGGTAAAAACGTTAAATGTGTTGGTAAATTTAAAATGCCAATACTACAGGAATTAAAATACTTTACTGTGGACCTGGTTGATGCGTCTTTTACTTTTTTGCAGCGTAATTGGAATTGATAATGATAAAAAATATTTAGAATAATATCATTTTTCGCAGTTAAATAATTCTTTGAAGTTCATAAATTACTAAAAAAAAGGAAATGATCACTAAAAAATAATATTATAATAACTGTCCATTTTGTTTGTTTTATAAAATATGAAAATTCTTAACGCTATTCGTATACATTATACGATGGTTATAGAGGACATGTGAGAAATAAGAGGATTTTTGTTTAAAAATTTAAACAAAATATGATTTTGTAATTAGAGCTTTTGAACAACCTTTAGAATTTGAATTGAACGAAAAAGATATATTATAATAAATTTATTTTCCCTGTACACACAAAAATTAATGGATTGAATTTGAGTTAACTTTTATTTGAATTTAATTTTTTTCCTTTACAAAAAAATTATCGTCTTACATGAAACCTCATACTATATTATGACGCCTTAAAAGGTTCAATGATAGGCATTCAAATATCACCAAATAATTTATTTAAACGAATCCAATGTTATTTACTAATTTTGCCAATATTTCTTATCCCCCATATTTCTAGGTTATTTTATAATGCTCACATGTTTAAATCAATAACATAACTATTATAAAAAAAATTATTTGAAAATAATGTATAGATACTAGTTGTTTTAAAAAATAAATGTATTTATTTATTTATTGTCTTATACATCATACGTTTGTAATAAGCAGGGCTCATTACTTCTAGCATTTGCATATTTTTTTTGAAAGGTCCTAGAGATACCTATGTGAGCTATAAATTTGTTTCAGATAACCAAGAAGCTAGATACGAAATTTTATGTTGCATATTTTTGCATATTTCGAAGATAAGTACTATTTTACTTTTTTTCGCTTTTTTTGCTTATTTTTGGATTTTTGTATGATTTTTATCATTGATTTTTTTAAAATATTTTTTAATAGCCTAAAACATTTTTTCTTAAAAATAACAAGTAATTATAGTCATATTAATTGTTCATATTAGTAATTAATTCGTGTTAATTAATTTTTCTTCTCATATAACTTATATAATATCAGATGAACTATATACGAGTTTAGTCGACGTGTGACGTAGTGAGTGTGTACGCCCGAAACTTCGTAATCCCATCGATAAAGAAACCATTATAATTGTATATATGTAATTGTAGCTTGTACTGTAGTATTTTATTTTTATAGTTTCTAGGTATTCGAGTATTCCAATATCATTATCTAGATATTCCGATACCATCATTCTCAGATTATTTACAGATTATTTTTCATTAACATTTTGCAGTCGTTTCCAATTTTTCGTATTGTACGCATGCTAGTTCGTTTCGTGAATTCAGTACTTAATTTTTTTTTTTTAATAATAGAAGCTAAAATAATAAAATAATATAATAAATAATAATAATAAAATAATAATTTTTATATACAAACGTTTTTTTTTTGCATATTTCAGTATTTTTAGTGCATATTTAAGCGCTTACATGAATACTTTTTAGAGCATATTTAAGCGCTTATAACAACCTTTTTTAGAGCTATAAGTTATGAGCCTTGATAATAAGCATATGTTTTAGTATACTTATGCTAAAATACATGTTTTAGTATACTTGTATTTTTTGCCCAAAAAAATACCATAAGTTTGATGTAAAATAATATTGATTGACGATAACTAAATACATTATTTAGATTCCTTTGGTATAATAAATAAATAATTCGTTAAAAAATTGTAATAATGGTTAGATCAACCATGTTATAGATTAATAATGGTTATTGATTATTCATTTTTTTTTAATTCTTCGGGAATGATTATACTTCAGCTATTTAAAATTCTCATAACTTTAATATTTTACTTAAAAACTTATGAATATTAAATTATTATCATTTATTATCGTACAATAATTAATACATATAGTTATAGAATATAATGATTTAATTAAATTTACTAGATATACAGTTGATTAAAAAAAAAAAAAATCTACAATAATTTTTACTTTTTCTTTTTATCAAAATAACAGTTGGCTCAATTTGTCCATAATACAAGTAGAAGTCATGCCTTCCATCCAATGTATTCATTGGTTTTGTTGTTAGTTAAACTGAGTTGTTCGTAGAGAGGTTGAAAGTATTCTAACAACGGTTCTACTTCTAATCGTTGGTGTCCGACAATCATTTCAAATAGTAATTGCCATTTTGTCGAAGAACCTTTTGACATTACTAAACTATAATTCAAGAAAAATAATTTATTTAGAAATGTTTTCGTTGAAATTTAATATAATGTCTAAACCTGATAATTTTGCCGATTTTTTTATAACCACGTAAATTACATTCGTATAAGTGCTTGATTTTCGAGTTTTTAGGGTCATACTCGCCACACGTTGTACATAATGCTTTAAATATTTGAAACTCTATAACTGGTGCTAAAAAATACCTGTAAATGAATTACGAAAAAATTCCAATGGCTTAAAAAATAAATAAGATAAATATAATTTCTTATTTACGATTATATACATAGGATGGCGTATATGATTAGGTTTCTATAGGTTTCAGGTAAGTATTAAAAAATTTAAGTAATAGGTATCTATAAATTTAAAAAAACTGTAACTATTCATGCCGTTTTCAATTAATAAATCCTATTTAAATTATAATAGTATTTACAATCAGTGGCGTAACCAGAACTTTTAATGCCCGTGGCAAAATAATCCAATCGGGCCCTTAGTTTTATAAATTTGGAAAAAAGAGATATAAGGAATAGCCTACAAAAACTAACCACCTATAAAATTCTACCCTTTAAGGTTACAAACAATAAAAAGCATGTTTAGTGTAATATTATTTTTATAGTAAAATTGTAATAAACATTTTTTGGTTTAAAAAATATATACAAAGCAATACAAAAATTTAAATATTCAAAATTTCTTCTTTCTTGCTTTTGCTTCGGCAAACATATCGATTAAATTTTCAAAGTCAACTTCTCGGGCTGTTTCTTATTCGATTGAAATTAATGCCAAGCCACTTAAACGATCTTGCATCATTGTACTCCTTAAATATCCTTTAATAATTTTTAGTTTCGAAAATGACCGTTCCGCGCTTGCAGATGTAACAGGAATTGTCAAAAATAATAAAAGAGCAGTACATACTTCTGGGAAACTGGCTGTTAAAGAATGATTTTTCACCATTAAAAGTTGAGCAAGATCTCTAGTTGAATTAAGTTGACTTATTTGATTTTTAAGAGTTGATCTTACAGCTAAAATTTTACTTGTAAATGTTTTTGATATGTCTTTATCATATTTGTTTACCAACTTCGTAGCTTCATTTAAAAGCTCTAAATCTGTTGCTGATGTAAGAAAAGATGGTTGTAAACATGTGAAATTTAGCATTAATTCATGAAAACTTGAAAAACGTTTACTTATTTGATTTATTAATATATCCAACGTTCTATTAAAAATAGTTACACGAAATAAGCTTTCTGGACAAGTTAAACGCATATCAGTACATAGTTCATCGAAATATCTTTTTACAACTTTACGACGTTTGTTTTGAAACTCTGTAGAGATAGACCAACTTTTAGCAACTATATTTGCTTCTTCCAAGAGATCATTAAAATTACATCTATATTCTTTTAATTGTTCATAACAGTTTTTTAATAAATTGGATGCATTATCTAAATCAACTGACTTTGACTGGAGAATTTTAGAAGTTAGGTTTATAATTTGTAAAATTTTACATTGAAAAACTAAAGTGCAAATAAAATTATAATTTTCAATTTGTTTTTTAATCCCTTCAGCTTCATTTCGCTCATCTAACTTAGAGCTGCAAAGTATAACTTTTGTTAAAGCTTTTTGAATTTCAACAAATCTAATTTTAAGCGCAAAAACTGTTTCATAACGACCAGCCCATCTTGTGGGATTAAGTTTTTTTATTAATAATCCATTTTGACTGTTCGATTCCTTAATTAAATCTGATAATATACGCCATCTTACTATACTATGTCCAAAAAAAACAAAAACTCGTTGAACAATATCAAAAAAGATTTCCATTTCTGTTATTTCTTTCACAGCATCATTGACAACTAAATTTAAATTATGAGCAGAGCAATGGACATAAGCTGCGCTTGGCTCAATGTCTTTAATTCTTTTTTGTAGGCCATTAAACATACCACTCATATTGGCAGCCCCGTCATAGCCCTGACCACGACACTTGGCGATAGACAATCCCTTTTTTTCAATATTCTGTAATATTAGTTCAGAAAGAGAAGAGGCAGATTGATCAACAACTTCATGAAATGCTAAAAAAGTTTCCTTAACACATACATTTTTTGGGTTTCCGTATTCATCTTTTTCTATAACACAATAACGATAAATTTCACTTAACTGATCAACCTTTGAAATATCTTGCGTTGTATCAATTATAATGGAAAAAAAAGGAGCTTCTTTAATATTAAGTATTAACTCGTCTTCGACTTTATTTGAAATTAACTGTATTAGTTCATTTTGAATTTTAGGGCTACAGTAGTTTACTTTATTATTACCCTGATTAATAACTTTTTCTAGTACTGGGTCGTATTTTGCAAGTAACTCAATAAAACAAATAAAATTGCCGTTTTCTCCTTTTCCACTACCGAGCTTTTCTCTGTGGCCGCGAAAAGGTAAACTTCGCATAGCTAATGTAAGAGTAATATTTAAAATTCTCTCTAAAACCTGACGCCAAAATAATTTTTCTTTTTTTATATTCTGTTCTAGTTCTTCGTTTAATGTTTTATTTAAAAACCATTTTTCATATACTAAACAGGAAATGTAGTGAACGTGTGATTGCTCGTGTCTTTTAATACCATCTACTATGTGTTTCCAATCACAATATCCTGTAGTCCAAATTTCTTGAAAGCCAGTGGATGTGTGATCTCCAAATAGCCAGCATGACCTACAATACGCTTTTTGAAGTATAGTCGAATAACATAGCCACGAACGTTCGATTTTTAAACCAGATTTGGACACTGTAAAATAATACTTTTCAGAAAAAGATCTACCGTCTGAATTTTTGGCGAAAGGCCCTTTAGCTTTAGGTCTACTATGCCCATTTTCAATTATGAATCGTTTAGTTTGAGCATCTAAAACGATTTCTTTAAAATGTCCAATATCCGTCGGATCAGAAGAAGTTTCAATAATATTTTTAAAAACAATATCAAAAGATTCATTTTGATTCGTACCTTTATATGAACAGCATGACAACATTTCTGGGGCGGATTCTTCATTTTTTTCACTATCTACAGAACTAAGTTCAACACTTTGTTCACTATTAACCTCGGTATTAACACTTTTAATTATTATTTCACTTTTATTTTCACGAGGAATGGTACTAGAAAAAAAACTACTAATTTTAGGCAATTTTAATCATTTTTCTAGTTTTTCCGTTTTTTTCTTACGCTTTTCATACCCACTAGGTATTTTTTTCGACATGATTGATCACAATATCTATACGAATACGAATCACTGATTCACAGCAGAAGGCGAAAACAAAATCGGTCTACGACACGTCATTGACTAATAACAAAATAAAATATAAATTAAAAGAACATAGTGTAACAACGACTAAACGACGGTCACTTTTTCCTTGAATAGTTCTAATCTAATCTAGTATCTAAATATAAAATATAAATGTTACGTTCGGTTTCAAAGACAAGCGATTGCGATACGCTTCATTGTTATTTCCATTCTACAAATAACAATATCATTAAATGTATAATAATAATATTAATATCGACAATGTCGACGGACTGGTAAATAAAATAATCGTGATCAGTTATTAAATTTATTTTATTTTACAAGAATATACATATATTTTTAAACAGAATCGTATTTATAAATTTCACTAATGGTGATTTGTTTTTGAATGTACTATTTTTTTCTTGAAGGGCCCTCTAGAGTCGTGGGCCCGTGGCCCATTGCCCGTCATGCCACCCTATCGTTACGCCATTGTTTACAATGAATGGTTGGAATATTAATAAAAACTGTAGTGCACAATTCTTTATGCCAAATAAAAAAATTTTAATAAATAAGTTATATCGTGTAATTTTCAAGTTGGTTAAATTAAAAAATATGATAAATATAAAAAAAATATGATACTAAAACAAATAATTAAAATAGTCTACCATAATTTCCACTGTATCAGTTAAATTTTTAATATAGAGCATTAGTATGTAGTCCTTCGAGATAATATATTAAACACAATTCAAATTAATCAAAATAATATTGTAGGTACGTATTTGTTTAAATATGTGTACACTATGAACCACAATTTTAAAGAATAAGGTGTTTTGCCAGTGAGGTTCATATATTCGATTGTTATTTTATACGTAATTAAGCAAACTAGATAATTCTATAATCCAAAAATTTTACTACTAAAAGAAAAAAATTCAAAATATGATTTTTTAATAAAAAATACTTATAAATTTTTTCGTTAGTCGTTTGTGAATTATTTAAGATTTATTTTAAAAAAATACAGTGTGAAATTATAAGTATTAAAAGCTTAGTTTACAAATAATTATTTTTAAAACTCGATAATGGTATGTGTTAAATATTACCTTTTTAATTGTTCTTCTAAATTTCCTATTTTAAACTATTTTTTTGTAATTTAATGATTGTCATTTGATGTTTAATTTTGTTTATTATATATGTACCTACATATATATAATAATTATAATTCCATACCTCCAACACAATTTATAAGCTTACAGGATGCAAGTAACCAAAATCAAACTTGGGTAAAATACTTTTTATAGTATTTAGAATAAATACTCGAATACTCACAAAAAATAGTATACCGAATATGTATTCAAATACTTTATACAAATTGTATTCCGAATACATTATTTAGAATATTTCAAAAGTATTCTGAATACTTTTAAAATACTTCTAGTTTTCATACTGTACAACTAATAGATGTCCACTCAACAGAAATATTTAAAATTGTAGACTAAATATATGTTATTTTATTGTATATACCACCCAAATCTGACCATAGAATATATTATTAAATAATAATTTGTAATGTTATGAAAATAAAACAAAAAAAATTATTTTTTCTTTCGTGTTACCAAGATACCAAAAATACCTAATAACTGATTTTCGGGGATGATAGTAAGGTAGTATTAAACGATTTTAAAGGCTCTTAATTTAGTTCGGATAACGCGGACTGTTTTGCAAAAAAAGAAATATTAAAAAACCCGTGTAAGAATCGGTCCCGTAGATTTTGAGTCAATCAATATAAGATATACCAATGTCCATATTTCCAGAAATATATAAAGCTTATATGAGATAATAGAACAAGTAAAACATATAGAATTATTATTATTTAACGGTAACGAGCTGATCTAATTTCACAGCGAGTGCAAGTCAAATATATATATAATACCATAATCTCGTAAATGACATGTATAAAGGCTGAAAATAAATTTGAAGAAAGCAAAACGAAATTTTAGAGATAACATTTCGAGTGCATCGAAAGCCGTCGGCTCTAACTCTATTACGAACAAATGTACAATAACACGTCAGCGTCAGCGTGTAATGTATAATATAACTTGCAGCCGTCACAGATTTTATAGGTAACACAACGACCGACGGTGTATAAAATGGCCGTGTAGCTCTAACAGTGTCGGTGTGTACGTTAACAATATTTTTCTCGAGTAACTTTATTCACGATAACGTTTGTCGCTGACAAGTGGATGACACGTTTTCTAGCACAAAACCGTATAATATAACATGCTCCGTTGACATGACGGCATGCGTCGCAAAATATTACGCATTGCCTCGTTACTATATTATTATCGCAGTGGGATATCTCAATGATTCAAAGTTAAAAAGAAGAGACCGACGATTTCGTAGGTTGAGAACATTCTTAGTGATAGTACGCGAAGTTGAATTTCTACATAAAAAAAACCGTACATATTACTTTATTATTTAATATGTATTTATTTGTTGGACATAGAATAATACGATTGTTACCGAAACTGATTCTTTGGTCAAAAAGCACTGCACGAATTGGTTTCCATAAGTATTAGTTTAATGCTAAAAGCTTTTAGAATTAGTTTCCGGGCAATCGACATGTACGGAATACGAATTGATTCCGATCAATGACGATTCCCTTCCCATTTAAATACAGATTTAGGAATGTCTAGAATATTGTATACGTATTATCAAAAATGTAGTAAAATATAAGCTTAAGTGTTATTTATTTTAGCAGATGATAAACAGCTAATTTCTAATATAATGTGTATTCAATTTTATTTTGTTGAAAAAACTAATGAGGTATATACGTTTACAACCTAATATAATTTTATTAAATTTAAAACCAGTAATTTGAACATGATTTAATACCTTTAAATTTTACTAACGAAATTTATAAAAAGTTCAATTCCACCCAATCAGATTTTATTTTATTTCACTTATACCTAATAAGGCCTAATATACATAAACTAGTAACATGGTTAACCATAATACATAATTAATAATTTAATAATTCTTATCCGCGAAGGAACCTGAAATTCGTATTTTATCTGATGACAAACTCATAGGAACCAATTTGCATTATATCTATAGAGCTTATAGTAACGCGTTTATTTATAATTTTAAATTTAATGTAATATAATATCATATTTTGCAATGATTATGTTTTGTCGAAATAACATATACGTCTATTACTAAATACATAGTATATATGCGTAACTAAAAGTACTGATTTTATTTATCGCAGTGTAGTCATATCCAACGTGCCACGTATACACAATTACGTGTGTACGTAACTCGTTCGTAGTATTAGTTTTTGTCTACTGGCTCGGACTGGATTTTTAAGGTCTAAAATTGTGTTATCCGTTCTAATTTAAAGTTACTCATAGTTGCAGTACAAGCCAAACCACGGGAACCCACTTTGCCAACAACTGTCCTTAAATATTTATAATTAAATTTGCCTTCAACTCGTCTAGACTCTGCAACCCCCGTGGTATATTATTGATTATCACGTCACCGTGTATACAATATAAAGTGTGTGTGTGTGTGTGTGTGTGTGTATGCATCTATATTACGATATGATTCACGGCAATTATCATATTATTAATGTATATACCTGATGTACGGCAGTTCCGTCAGCATGTCGTACGCCGCACTGGGATCGAACGGTTTGTAATTGGAGTTGGAACATTTGTCCTTGCTTTTGGAAATCGGAGACACTACACCCTCGTACTTGAACCTGCGAACCACAGAACCGAATCGAACCGATGAACATAGTAATTAACGATGGCAGGAGACGCGCGTCGGTTATTTTCGAAAATATAAATGTATAATACACGCTGTGTAACTACATAATGTTATATCCAATGCGGGATCTAAGTGTTGGGAGGCCAGGTTCGGTAAACTATACTAATCGGAGGCTGCGGGACGTACTGCGGTATGAAGCGTAGGATATATTTTTACATTCGGCCCAACATTCCAACGAGTAAGAATAAACTATAGTGCCGAATATGAATATAATGCGGTCAAAGGTATAATAATATATTTGAATATTGTTTTTTCTTTTCTTTTCTCTTCGACCATTTATTCATAACGTACTCGATGATAAAAATGTTCTTTTCGATAACGCGATCATAATCTCATTATTTTCGACCGCCAAGATAATCCGAGATCAGCACATCCTGAAAACATCCCAACCTCGAGGCCTCGGTACGGCATTGAGCCCCTGCACTCGCCGTCACTGCACGTGAAGGCGGCTGTAGCTGTTTCAGCTCTCAATGCGAGAACTATTTTAGCGCCTCTCCCTCCGAAATGACTTGAACGCATAACTTAAACAGGCAGAATTAGGGGAGACGGAGGGGCTAAGCCTCATTCGTAATCAAACTATAATCGTAAACCGTACAGAGAACCAACACAAAAACAATACCAAAATTATAACTTATAGAACTGTACCTAAAAGCGCGGCCACTCCTTGCAAGTCCATACAATAATAAATAATTATAAATGACATTGTGAAAACATTTTTTTTCGTTTTCTAACCATCGTAGACAATTGCGTCGCCAACGTTGGATCTTCTAATTTTCGAAATTCTAATTTTAACGGCTGTCGCGCGCCATTCTAACTTCGGGGCGTCCCGTGCCGTCGTGCTCGTCGGTCCAAGCCCCCCCCCCCCTCAGGTGCCGAGTGCCGAGCGCGCAAGCGCAACGTTTTACCTTTGGTTCCACCAGAAATCGTTCGTGCGCTTCGGCGCGAACGGCCCTTTGAACGCGTTTGCGTGCCACACGTCTGTGGCGTATACGAAAGGCAACACGGCGACCTTTTCCATGGCCGTCCGCAGCAAATAGCTGTGCCGGCTGAGAGCGCTGTCTTTGAACCGGTCTATGTGATCCTGGTACCGTGCGGACAACGTCAGCGCGTTTATCATGCCGTCCACGAACGCTGCAACAATCGCCGTCGCATTAATCGAATTTTTTTTTCATTTTGCATTACATGCGCCTCCTATACTATGCGCTACAGTATTGTACTGCTGGTACCGCCGATCGTGTACGCCGGGTTCACTTCTCAAACTGATGGGCCGTGAAATATTTATCTGTTGTTTTAACCATTTTTTTTTTTTTTCGGACCTTGATTTAATTTCTACGCTTATAGTTCAACACTTTACGGTTATACTATAAGGTTCATTAAAAATTGTTTTGAAAAACATCGATTTACTACAAATTGTAATAATGTCATGTAATTTTAGAGTATAATTGTGAAATAAGAATTAACGATATTGACCAAAGGGGCCTTGACGAAGGTTTTGCATTAAATTTAGGGGGCCCCGTGACAAAAAAAGATTAAGAATCACTGGTGGGTTATAGCGTTATAAACACTGTTTATAACGACATAGAGGATTACCGTGGAGTGACTAGTATAGAATAATTGTTTATAATTCAAAGAATACTGTGCATTTGTGACAAAACGTTACCTCTATCACGGTTTATTTTTAATCGATCACAGATTTCATTAATTTTAAACATATTTTTAACCGCGACTTTTCTAAAAACAAGCATTTTTCGAGATAGAATGGTGAGGAAGCGACCGTGCACTTCCCTCTCTCCCTGAACATTACGTCCTTGTTATAACGACATATAGGTATGCGCGTGCTATTAAAGAAAAGTTCAGAACGTGTCGACCAAATATATTTTGTTTATTTTTCACGACCGTTTAAGTAACAGACTGAACAGATATAGCTACTGTTTACATTTGAAAATCATCCGGATTATAAATACATGATAAATAAAACGAAAACTGAAATCAACGTATGAGTCTAGACTTTTACTTGTTAAACTGTGTTAGTAAATAAAAGCATCAACATTTTAACATAGTTTACAAATGATTTAACAGTTGATAAAATTTAATTTAAATACGTTCCTTGAATCACTCAAAAATAAGTAATTTATAAATTACTTTTTTTCTATAAACTATAATTGTATATTTTTATAATAATTGCTATACCATAAACATATAATTAATGAAAGGACCAAAAAAATATACGAGTATGTATATTAAATGATAAAAAAAATTATAATTAATTTCATAAAATTAAAATAGCAAATGAATACGAAGTATTGATCATAATTAATTTATTATACTACTTAAAAAAAATTGCTTTTCAAAAAGTACATTAAAATAAAGATATTAAAAAAAAATCTCGAAGCATTATTCTAATATTTTCCTCCGTCCTTTCAATATCGATATAAACAGTTTATTATTAATACTAGCTAGAAAATGTATGGCTTTGCAGAATATAATATTTTTATACATATCTGAACTTCTAACCTGCATCAGATGTATGTTGAAATATAATGGGTTGTATTTTATAAGCTGAGAAGTAGTGCACCAACCCTAATTGCTTGTGCATTGTATAAACATCATCAACAGTATCTCGGAAACACATTTTTATTCTGAAAAGCACAATGACATTTTTAACATACAATATATAAATATTCATAAATATTAAATATGTCTTACATTTACTTTTACGTAAACGAATATATTTTAAATATAATATAAACAAAAAATAATAATATTCTATATTAGTACCGATATTAGTTTTAAATTTTATATAATAATATAATTATAAGTTAACAGCAAACATATTATTTCCATTAATGTATCCATAAACTCAAAACATTCAATTTTAATAAATAATGTACACTTAACTATATACAAGTATTTTAATGATTTGTTTGCCAAATTATTGTTTTAACACATAAAGTAAAAGTTGTCTTTTCCTAATTTACGATTCTTTCTTGGCTATAAATAATTACCTGAAATCATTGTTTTTGTACATATCCCAAGATGAAGATGTACAGTCAGCAAAATTTTCATTTTCTTCGAACATCGAATTAGACCAAACGCTTTTCGGTAAGTTTCCCATACCGATCGAGGTAAAAAATCTGTTGGCTTGATCAAACAATCGCTTTGGAGTCTTTAAAGCATAATTATTTCATAAATATTTTTTAACAATATATTTTTTTTACATTTTTAAATCGAATAGCAATAATATACTTTAGCGTTTGTTCTGGAACTTATGTGTATGAAACGTTCATGAGTCAAAGATGGTAATAAGTTAGTCCATGGTTGACCCAATATTGAACCTGAAAATGTAAAGTCAACGACATTTTTAAAAATAATACAAAAATTGTTCGATATTAAAGATCAAAATGCTTAATAAATTCCAAATTAATTTTATTAAATAACAATTTTTTTTTATTAAACTTTTATTAAGTAATTAATATACAATCATAATATGACAAATATGTAAATTAATATAATTTGTTTAAATTTTAACGGATGCAGTTCAATTTTTAATTTTTTATTTAAATACAAAAATACTTATTTGAACACTCAACCTGGCTTTGCGTAGTATTATAAATTTGAATCCGATTATTGTTTAATTCAACAAAAACTTAACAAAGTAAATTTATAATTTTTAACCATAAACGGATAAAATAGTTATTATTAAAAAATTATATTTGCTTATATTTATTCATCAAATTTATTTGCAGTTTACTCTGTAATTATTTTAACTAATTCAAAATATATTGTTTAATATACTTTATACTTTTTTATACTTTTTAATCTACATTTGATTTAATTGTTTTTAATTTATGCATAATATTATATGTATAGAACATTTGTATCATAGTCTCAAAATTGTTTTGTTAAAACAAAATAAAAATGTTATTGTAATATTTCTCATAATCAAAAAATAAATATACCGGCTTCCAAATTATTAACAACATAACAATAATTAACGTAGAAATCAGTAGATATCTTAAATATTAATTCAAGTATAATTTATTTTGATTGTATTATTTAAATACATTCTTTATTATTATATTTTAAAAAAATTTATACTTTTAATATAAGTGCTCTTTCTTATAATAATATATAAAATATGTATAAACTAATGCCATGTCGTCAATCTTAAAATAAAAATCATTATAGCATTTTATTATATCATTATTCTCGTACTTCTGAAAACCAATGATCATACTATTTGATTATCCGCTAAACGATACACAATTATTAAATATATTCGTTTTTATACTGATAATATATTATTTTATTAATATAACTGACAACATTGTTTCTATCATATTTACACATCCTTTTCATCTCTTGTGACAAATCGAATATTTTTTTTTTAATAATTTAAACAATCATTAACATACATAAGTCTGTTAAGTTTCTTAATTTTATAACCGAATGAATTTTATAGGCGAAGTGGAAAAAAATACAAACAAAAATCTGAATATAAGTACTAACCTTATTTTGTTTTTACTACATATTAGATATTACATAATACGTATTATAAAATAAATATATTATTATTATTATGTATAACAATTTCTGTTATTTGTTAAAAACATTTATGATTTTAGTTTTTTTTTTATTATTTTTAAATATTTTGGATATACATTGCTCGTACTCGTATGTATATTAAAATTAATAGTTCGGTGATGATCAGCTCTCTTCAACAATTCTAGAGCCTTAGAATATCGTTATTTGATGGTGGTTCAACTATGACATCAATAAATAATTACTAACCCAGAAGTTTATTTTCTACAAACTTTCGTTTACTAAATTTGAGTCTTTTACCGATTTTTTTTTTTTAATGTATTTGGATACATTCGGACCGTTTTGGACGATTTTGAGTCTAATAAGCGGCTGAATCTTATATTCGTGAGTCTTATAAACGGTGTCTACTGTATTTATAAAAATGAATGTGAAAAAATTTTAATAAAAACACTAAAAATAAAACTGAACGTAAGCTTATATATCTATGTACGTTAAGCGCTACTCTCGTATTGATATTCGTCAGGATTACGAGTATAGGATGTTTTAAATTTCAATGAGACCCCGCATACAAATATCGTAATCGAATAACTTATTGTGTATGTAGAAAACACTGGATTTTTAGTATTTTAATAAAATCTGATGTCCTTAAATTTCTTCGGTTCATTGGTATTGTTTGAAAAGGAAAGGGTAGAAAACGAAAAAAAAATCACGTAAATCATAAAGTCGATCGAATCACGTCACTAGTCCGTTTAAGAATGCATGTCAGTGTGTAACTATAACTCGATTATCCATTAGATATGTATATGTAGAGTGAACGGTATAACGGTAGTTAACGGAAATCTGCACTTGAATTTGCACTATTTTGGGTCTATCTCGATGAAAATGTTATGGGTCTAATGGAATAATATTGAATTGCGGATTTAATGAGCCCTAATTCATTCGACAAACACCCGGAAATTAAAGTTCGAGTACACTAATATACATAATATTATTGTACATTTGTATTACATGCGCATACGGAAAGTAAAAAACAAACGTAGTTTCCGACGATCCTTCGTTACTCGTTTAATCGAAAACGGTCTTCAAAAGAACAATTAAGTGTCGTCGCTTGTGAAAACCTTTACACCAAAAACATATACGACAAAAGCTATATTATTGCAATGCGGTTCGTCAACGCGTCTGACTAGTCTAGGCCGACCGGATTAATTTATAATCATTCGCACATTGCGCACCGTTGGAAACAGGTTTTTCGTCGATGCGTATATATTGTTGTAAGTGCATTTCTGCGGCGCGAGTGCGGTTATGTTTAAAAATCGATATCCATAGACGTATATGCGTATCTGTATTGTGTACACCACGTCACCACAATTTATGTCTCTCTCCATCTATCTCTCTCTCATCTCCCGTGTAATTGTTGTTACACTGCCGCCGCGAGCGATTGCGATTCTCGGTCACAGGTACTGTCAACTGCGGTCGGTGTTATGTATGCATGTTCTTTTATTTCCCCCCCCCCTTCCGACTTCGCACGAACTCTTCGGGGGCATTGCCGGTCGATGCGCGCACAAATGACCGGAGAACCGGAAACGACGTTATTGTGTACTCGCGTAGACGGGGGGTACGAACGCGCAAGGGACATGTGCAGGGACATCGAAATCTGATCGAAACCAATGGTGAACGATTTGTGTTCGAAAATGACTTCGTAACAGCGTGTCGCAGCACATCGGAGTACGGGTAAGAATTACGCGTCCGAGTCGGACGATAGTAGGACATCAAGATCCTAAGCAAATCTCCAACTGTTTCGAAGTATTATCGCGGCCGCGAACTGAAAACTGAACCGGCCAAGAACCAACCGGTTTCCCAGACTTGTATAATTGCGAAACGAGGTATACGCGCAAAACCAGAACTCGTATTCCGTTTGAAAGGTTTGGAAAATCGGAACCCATCTCGTAGGAACGATCATGTTTTAATAGTATAAAAAATAATAGATCGTCGGTAATGTTTACTAATAAGATTGACCGAAAACGTTGTACGGCCGATGTTCGACTGAACGAACGCACGGGTAATTTTCATTATTAAAATAATAACGATTATCATGCGACAAAAAAGGCACGAACTCGGGGGTACGGGCTTTTGCGAATGAATTAATTTTAAAAAATAATATTACACCTGAATATCGTACTAATATAATAATGCATTTCGTAACAAAAGTTTAAGACGAAAGAGACGAGGTGTTACTTGAAAGCATAAAATATATGTTATAATAAAAGAAATTCAATTAACTACTTAAATAAAATTACATAAAGAACGTAAATGATATTCTGACTTAAACTAAAGTACAAGATACTATAAATAATTACAAAAGTATATGATGCTCTGTATGAGTCCTTGATTGTCGAATTATCATAACCGACAGTGCAGTGTCTCCTTCGAGTCGCAGGATTCCGTGATCCAGCGAATTCCCACGGCACGAGACAATCACGTAGGCCATTCATTTCACATGAATTTATACAATTGTTTATACTGGGTGTCATATAATCGATACATAGTCTACAGGGTACAACAGTATTTTCAATACGCGAGAGCTTAAAACTATGTAATATCCACTGTATGAAAGTATTTTTTTCGCCAAAATCGTATACATTATTTATTATTTATTATTCATGTAAATATGAACCGCTATTATGCAATATCACTTATTGGTTTGGTTATAGTCACTCGCGTGAACGTGCTTTGTTCTTTCAAATAATTAAATTTCATCTTGTCAATAACCACAATCAGTGGTATAACTGGGAAAAATCTAGGGAGCGTAATATAATAAATTTATTATTGCCAAAACTCTGACACCCCTCCCCCTCTCCAATTAAAACATATTTTTATTGTATGTATTTTATACACTATATCTAATTGTTTGATTTTACATAAGTCTTTTAACTCATTTTATGGTTTAGATAAACATAAATTGTAGGTAGCAGATACTAGGTACCAATATTGTTAAATAATACCAATAAGAGTTCATTAATAAAAGGTGCTATTTGTACTGTTGGATTATCTGAGGAGGGGACAATACCTTTATTTCTCAAAAAAATTGTCAGAGGGGGCACTTGCCTCCCTTGCCCCCCCCCACTTACACCGCTGACCACAATGTTTTATATTACTAACAGACGAATATTTTGATAAAAACAAATAACTAATTTAAAATGGGTTCACACTTGTACAAAAGTTTTTACTTTTTTTGTGAAACCTCTTTTATATTTTTACTTCGTTATACGAGTAGAATCGTTAAGGTAAAAAACACGGTATAGCTAAACTAACTAAAACTACTTTAGGTAAAATTGGTAACCAAAATTTAAAAGATTTTAAGGATTAAGATTTTTTCTTCTTGAAGAAACTAAACACAACTGCCTTAATAGCATTAAGAATAAGTCCAGAAAAATTAATATTTATCAAGCAAAAATTTAAATTAAAACTAATGTATAAATTAAATTGTATTACATTTAGTAAAATATTAGTTATAGAATTTTACATGGTTAATTTATTCATTAATTAAGCCACCCAAATCTATTTTAATAACCACTTCTACCACCCACTATTTACTGATTTCAAAAATCACATATCTTAATGTTAACGATTAAGTGACTCAACGAAAAAAATCATTTAAATAATTTAAAACTTTAAAAATTACAAAACTAAATTATTAATCTTTCCTTAAATCTTGATCTTGCAATAGTATCATTAAACAATTCGCTCGATCTCCTACAAAACCTTCTATCCTCTTCCTTTCTTTCTATTGCTC